GTCAAATAGTAGAAGTGGCTGATATCGAAAAATCCTACCAGTGGCTGGACAAAGCTGGACTGAAAGACAGCACAAAGGCACTAATTGTGGCAGCACATGAACAGGCTCTAAGTACAAGATCAATAGAGGCAAGGAAGCTCCTTACAATGCACAGAGGGCTTCACCCCAAATCCAACATCCTGAGACTATACACTGCCATACCAGGCAGGACCCCAGGTGTCCAAGCCAGCTGTAGATTATACCAGCTGAACTACCAGCTTGTGCTGCTGTGAATCCACTTTCCTCCCGGACTCTGCACGGCAGCTTGTCATGATGGTAGATGTGCAAAAAGGGTTTCCTGTGGCATTTTGGGGGGATTATTCCACCGCATGCGGAGGGAATGTCAGCAGTTTGTGCTGTCTGTCAGTTGGGAAATGTTGGAAGAACTGCAAAGGGAAAATCAAATGAGAGCAGCAGCAAAGTGAAGAGTGAGCTGTCTAAATTTTCCCTGATTACTGCTACATCTATGCATTTATAGTCTTGGAAAATTATGCCCCAGGTTTGGTTAGGTTGCTCTGTGAAGGCAGTATTCCCTGTGGATGCCCACTTTGACCTGTGTCCATGTAACTGAACATGATTGCTGATTGCACAGTAGGAGCACCCCCTGGTCTAAAACATGCCTCCAGAATGTACAGTGAAATAAAAACCACACAATACTATTCTATGTGTCATAATACGACCATTCACACAGAGACAAAGGTGGAATTAAAATACCTTTTGTTAATGAATTATAAGTAATTGTGTGACTATAAATAAGTCATGTTTCTGTTTGTGTGCTATTGTGCAGGCACGGAGGAGTAGTCAGAGTGAGGCTGTAGCACTTCAGGCCATCCGTAACGCCAAGGGTAACAGCCTGTGTGTGGACTGTGAGGCACCAAGTGAGTTCTAAAACATCAGCATCTTTCCTTCCAGCTGCGCAGTTACTCTGGAGGATAGTTTTGTTTTCATGCACCACCCACAACCTGTGGTAGTGGCAGAGTGTACATACTGTATATTTGTATTCAGTAAGTCGATTATAGGGATGCTTCCTGTAAAGATCTGTCTTCTTTTGGCCCTGCAGATCCCACCTGGGCCAGTCTCAACCTGGGTGCGCTGATCTGCATTGAGTGCTCAGGCATCCATCGAAATTTGGGAACTCACCTGTCTCGTGTTCGCTCGCTGGACCTGGACGACTGGCCTGGAGAGCTCACACAAGTCCTGGCTGCCATCGGAAACCACATGGCCAACACCATCTGGGAGAGCTACACCCAGGGCAGAACCAAACCCACACCTAATGCAACTCGGTGAGTACAACCTCACTGCTTTTATTTAAAGGGCTGCATATTTTTAGATGGATAAATTTCTTTTCAAGAAGCAACTGCTTTCAATAAAGGTGTGAAAGCTGCTTGGCAGGAAATCTATAAGAGTGAACATTTCATCAGTTTAGCATTTATAAGCAGCTTAATATATTGTTTACAACACACTATACAGTAGTTGTGAGCAGGTAGAAGGACCTTTATAAGTGTTTAATAGTGTATTTGTATATGAATCATCTATAACTGTTAACAGTTAAATTATTGATAACTTGTAATTATTCATAATGTGATGTTTATTTACTATGTTTATTAATAATGTGTATTCATGTTAATTATTATATGATTATATGCATGAATAAATGTTTACTGAAAGAAACAACCTCATTTTGGGGATGATTTGATTCATAGATATCAGGGCTTTGCATAATCAAACACATGGACAAACAATCGAAAGGTTCTTTAAAGAGGTCAAACTGCTGCTTTCTACTTGTGTAACTTTAAATCTAATTTAAATCTAAATTAGATTAAAATAGTTCAGTGACACTGAATTGCACTTAAATAATCATCTGGAAGCAAGAGGTGCACACTTTGGTCAGTAACTCCTTGGTACATTCATGTGTGTGTACTCATACAGTATGTATGACTGAGTCTCCTGTGTGTGTCTCTGTTTCACAAGTGAGGAAAGAGAATCATGGATTCGAGCTAAGTACGAACAGCGGGCATTTGTGGCACCTCTTCAGCCGGCCTTGGGGAACCAGCTGCCAGATGACAGTATGCCAGTGCGGTTGCTGTCCGCGGTGATTGAGAGAGACCTGCCCAGAGTGCTGCTTCTTCTGGCCCACAGCACTAAGGAACAGATCAATGCTCAACCAGCCGGGTCACCTTCGCTGCCTCGCACGGCCCTGCATGCTGCTTGTCAGCTGGGAGATGTAGTCATGACCCAGCTGCTCGTTTGGGTAGGTTTCATTATTTTTTTGAAGGTAATATTTTACCTATTACTGTTTATTAAAACTAATAAGTTAAGTTATAATATTACTTTCTAAGGCATTAACAAATTATGTTTTAAGTCACTTTTGTGTTGCTCTCACAAAGCATCCTTGTAATAACTCACCTGCCCGTGCTGAGTGTGAATCAGCTCTCTGGAGCCACCTTTGCAATTAGCTGCACATCCTCCTCCACCTTCTCAGCTACAAGCTGCCTTAGCTTCTTCATACTCACTTTTTACAGATGATGGAGCTTGCAGCTCCAACCTTCTTCCTGTTGCATGGAGACATTAGCATTATTCTTTAGGCGTCTGACTCGATTACTGCAACATGCAAGTTGACCTTCTCTAAGTAGTTCTTTAAATTGAATAAGCTATTTTAGCTGCATAAAGCAGCTTACAGGTTACAATTTGTAGAAATGACTTGTTATTTCCAGCAACAAGTTGAAACTATAATATATTTTGTTTTGCCATGGCCTGATTAACAGGACTGGGGATCAAGAATATTTGCCTTTGGAGACACATACAGGACAGGACTAGGCTAACATCTTTCTCTCTCCCAGCTCCTCTACTGAGTCCAGAGACCAGCCCAAGACAGGCCTTCCTTATCATTTTGTCCTGCTTCATTTTCTTTGCCACTATAATGCAACTGCTACAGGAGATCACAGCATAGAGGATGGCTGATGGCACCAGAGACTCATAGAATACTTTGAGGAGCGTCCTGGACACTCCAAAGGTTCTGAGTCTCCTCAGCCTTTTTGTAAAGGGAAATGGTGTTGTCTTTCTAGTCCATCTTGGTGTTGAGATAAGCACCCAGGTATTTGTTCATCTGAACAGTCTCTATGGCCATTCAGTTGATGTTTACCAGTCTGGTTAGGACATGTTTTTTTCTGAGAGTCCACAATCAGCCATTTGGTCTTACCTGTATTGAGCTGCAGCTCGTTCTGCTGTCACCAATGAGTGAAGCCCTGGATCACAGTCCTGTATTTGTCCTCCTCTCCATCAGCGATGTACCTGACAACAGCTGAGTCATCAGAACATTTCTGTAGGTGACACTGTGCAGAGTTGAGGGTGAAGTCTGATGTATAGAGGGTGAACAGGAATGAAGCGAGAACAATCCCCTGTGGAACACCCACACTACAAAACACCAGGATCAGCAGTCTCACACTGTGGTCTGTTGGTGAGGTACAGTGGGATAAAGAAAGAGCAAAATCCAGGGTTAACATCTTTTTGGCTTTTTGAGATGGAGAGTCTTAAAAGCAGCCAAAGGACTCAAATTTGATTTAGCATCTAAAGCTAACATGTTTGTTTTGGTAACATTAACGAAATATCATGCAGCTTCAGACTGGAGGCTGCATTTTGTACAGTTTGGCGTGTGTAGTTCCTGTTGTCACCAGGAAACAGGATGTGATCAGAGAGCAGTATGAAGTGGTTTATGGTGTCAGTTTATTTGATTCTCACTAGACCCGTAGCAGCTGACAAGAAATTAGGTAGGTAGCTTTAAACATGAACATAATTTGAAATAGTAGTTACACTTAAAACGTTACAATGCTTGTAAAAATCTCATGCTGTGTTGTCTTGAAACTCAGTTGAAATAAAGCATATTTCTGGAGTTTGACAGAAATGTCAGTCAAGTGTTTGTAAAACACCACACACAGAAAAACTCTGATCAGCTGATATGAAAGAGCTGTGTTTGTCCAAATGCTGTCCTGGTTACCAGGAAGCCTGACCTGCTCAAGATGGACCAAACCTTTCGAACTTTAGCATACAAACACAAGAAAGTAACACCTATCAAAACATTTTTGGTTTTCTGAGAGAGAAGACCAGTGATGTGAAATTTGTCTTGGCAGTGTCAAAAATGTTGAGCGATTTATAAAAAAAACCCGTTTGAATTTCCCATTCTGGTCTTAGTTTAACTCTGCAGTGACTGGAGAAGCTGGATGGTGCTCCTGTTACAATGATGTATGTGTATGTCTGTCTGTGTGCTTAGTCACATTTTGTGAATGAAGACAAATATGTCTGATGAAAAAACTGTGTCACAGCTGTGGTTGCCAGGACAATTAACAAGAAACATTTTTACAGCTTCTCCTTCTGAACATTCTGTCAAATCATTTATTTGGGTGAACTTTTTTGTTGGAATGACATTTTTATGATGAACAATGTGGGACACAAAACTAGCTAGTAATACAGGACCTCCCTTTGTTCATATTGTACTTTACTGTTGGAGATTCCTTAATCAATTTGTAATAAATCAAATGACCAAAATCCTTAGACATGAAGTGAAGCTAGGTCTCTTGAGGGTCCTGGAGTTACCCATTTTTCCCAATTAGTATTTAGTCTTGCAGACAAAGGCATTCTTCTACTTGGTCTCATGGGTGCTGCCATACTTAATGTGTAGTGTCATTTAGTTAGCAGTGCACTTAATTCCGATTGGTGTGCAACAGCACATGTTGTGTGAGTAGCCAAGTACAGCACTGTACTACACCCGCTGTAGTACAGTTCTACCTCTAATCAATATTTAATCTTTTAAAAAAGCTTACACTGAGAAATCATTGTGTCCTTTCTTCCATCTCTTCACTCACAGTATGGAATCGATGTAAAAGCAAAAGATAACCAAGGCCAGACAGCCATGATGATGGCCAGAAAAACAGGAAGCAAAGGCTGCACTGATATTTTGCTCCAACACGGCTGTCCCAGTGAGACGTCACCCACCACTGCCACACCCATCCTTTCCCGCCGGTCTAGCACCGCCAGCCTGGGCCGGACCAGCTCCAGGAAACGGGTGTCATAGCGTGGACTCAAGACACCACCACCCAAGGGCTTCTGACAGCTGGAGGATGCTCATAGTTTAGTAACCTTTAGGATACAGGCACAGCTGACTTTGGAGGAGGGGTGTACTATAAGAAAAATAACAGGACTATATCATGGTACAAAGGATAACAAATGCGTCTGAAGACTGAACAACATATCAACCAACTTAAAAGCAATATTCATTTAGTTTGTCGATGGCAGATATATTGCTGAAATACTGTGTTGTTGTTGACCTCATTTCTAAATGAACCTTGTAGCGCTCTTCTGTAATTTTAGAGCAGGCAGGTGAACTGCTTCTGTTTCACTTCCTCCAGGAGAAGTGCAATAATCCAGCTATGACGATGACAAGCAGAAAGTTTGATGTCGGATTCCCGTAAGGTCACTGTAGTGAGAGAATCAATACCTTGAGCGGGTGATGGTACTCAGATTTGTTGTCACTGGACCAAAACAGTGACTTTCTTCCTTTGGCTTTACACATAAAACAGAAGCCTACAATATGTCATGTTGTTAGTTCTGTGTACCTGTCGCAGGTCAGTTTGGCCAATATTAATTGTTTCAGTGACAAATCAGCTGACATAATTCTGCTTAGACTAGAAAAATGAATGGTTTGGAACATGAAATGTGTCAGTGTTACTCTCAAAGGTCAAAGGTATAACAATTTAATATACTGTAAATGTACCTATACTACATGCTTAATGTTAAACTCTGTAATGAAGACACAACTGAAAAATGAAACTCAGTTTTGTAAATGATTTCTTACATGTAGTTTTAAAAATGTCAGGTTTGTTTTTTCATTGTCTTTTATCATTTTTACTCTCTCATGTCATAAAAACAAAAACCTGTAACAAATGCTTTTAAACATATGACTATTTGTTAAAAGTTTTATTCGAGATGACCAAATGACTACATGAAGATTATGACATTATTCACATGCATATTACTGTTGTGTAGGTCTACTCCATGAGTCCACAGTGAAGTGTGAAACGGTTTCAAGTGTCACTGTTACTTCTGACACTTCGTGGGTCATGTGAATCCCTCATGAGCTAAAAGCAATGGTTACAGAATAAAATGAATTTTTTTAAATTATCATTATTACGATCATTTGGTATATTTAATTTGGTCTAACTCCCCTTTCTACATGATGTTGTTGGTTGATAGCATGTTTCTAGTCATGTTAACAGCACAGCTCTATGGAGGAAAGTCTTGGCTCATCATTTTCATTTAAACATATAAATATAAATGTAAGTTTTTAAGGAAACCTAGAAAAGATGTTGGCAAGTAGAAACTTGTTTTAACATTACACATTTGTGTATTTTTATATATATATATGTGT